GAGGAGCAGCGTGCCACGGCCCCGGGTGAGGGCTCTGCCGGCTCTCCTCCAGCGGCAGGAGGGGCGGCGCAGGAGGAGGGCTGTCCCTCGGAAGGGAAACGCCAGCGTGAGGATGGCCGGAGGCCCTTGCTGCCGCCCTGCCTTATCAATCCGAGGAAGAGACTGCGGACGGCAGCCCTGAGCGCTTCGGATTCTGCCATCACTGGTGATGAGCCCATCTCCGACAGCGAAATCGAGCAGTACCTGCGGGGCCCGGAGGAGATCCGGGCCTTCAGGAAGGCCAAGGCCTGGTCATGAAGATAGTCGTCTCCAGCGTGGTGTGGAGGACGGTGCTGCAGAGACACCGGGCAGCAGAGACTGTGGGACCAAAAGCGGGAAACCCGATGGTGACAGAGCCATCGGATGCTGCAGGGACAGTCGCCCGAGGGAGTGGGGTTGTGGGGAGGGAGCGGGCTATGTCCTCTTTCACATTTTGGACCAAAACGGGGCTTTTTATGGAGTGACTGCCTTGGGCTGTGTTAGATTTCTGTTAGCAATAAATAAAAGCGCAGATGCCTGGACTGGTTTCTGGATTCTCTCTCCTTGCAGCCTCTGGTAAAAGGCGTTTTGGTGAGGCCCAGTCCTGCGGGGCGGCATCGGGCGTGAGTCGGGTGAGCCCGTGGCCTTACAACGGGGGCGATGCCCGGGGAAGGACTCCAGCACCTTCCCTGGTGCTGGTTTGCTGTAGCGCTGCTCTGGCTTTTTGGGTGATGGCTTCACCGCCTCATGCTTCACCTCCTTTGACAGAATGTGTTTGTGAGGGTCAAGGAGACACCTTAACTGGCTGAGAGAAAACTGCCCTATCCTTCATTAAATAAGGGATGTGAAGCTGCTGGAGATCTGTGGCAAAGGCGCAGCTTTGGATTGTGCATGCGCAGCGCTGCTGGCTTTCATGGCAGCAATAAACCAGCGCCCTCTCTGTGCCTGGCGGTCTGTTGTGTTTGAACGCAAAGTCTGCGAGGAATAACAGTAGATGTCGGCAGATTGGCAAATCTTTAATATATTAAACAAAACATATCTGCTAGAAACATTCTATTTATATAAAAATGCAAAAAGACCCCCTTTAAAGACATTTCTTTGGCATACTTTCCCCTCCCTCCCCCACGTATATTGCAAGAAGCTCTCTGTTGATATGTCATTTGCTTGTAAACAGACAAAAAAAAAAAAAAAAAAGTGTAATTAATAATACAAAGCTTTTTATATAATACTGTCACAGTGCAGCAAGCATATATAACAACTCAGCATCAGCAAGACCGTGCAGGCTGTGGTATTGACAACAAGGGTTCAAAGCATATTAAATACCAGGCGTAACGAAACGTGGTTTAAGCCGTCGCTGGGGCAGGGCAGTGGAGGCAGGCGGGGAGCGGCAGAACCGCGGCAAGCCCGGGGTGCCCCAGCCCTGCGCCGGGAGGGCTCCCCGAGGCTTTCCGAAGGTGAGACAAACGCACCCAGTGCTTTTTCCTCCGCTGCCTTGCGGCTCCCCGTCCCCGCCAGCCCCTGCCCGGTCCTCGGGACCCCTCGGGAGGTAGCTGAGTAACGAAACCCATTTGTAGGCAGGAGAAAGCTGAGGAGGGGGAGGCTGGAAAGGGCAGAGAAGGCACCAGGCTCCCATCCCACCTCCTCTGCGTCGCGCTCACAGCTGCGGTCAGCGTTGGCCGGGCTTGACGCCGAACAAGGGGGGGGGGAAACAGAGCCCCGGTCAGCGTGGGCAGGGGCCGGCAGCCCTGCACTGCACCAGCACAGGGACGGGGTGCTCCTCGCCCGGCTGTGGGGTAAGCAACCGCCTCTCGTTTTTAGGAAACTTCAAGACCTGGCAGGGCAGAGGAAGGCTCCCAGAGCCTGCTGCTGCCTGCAGTGTGGCCTTTTTATCTGCATGCTAGAGAAAAAGGGGGACTTGGTTTGTAAATGGGGAAAAAAAATAAGTGCTTATCCAAGTTCCCACCCTTTGAATGCATCACGCGACCTGTCCAAGCAAGGTCCCCAATTAATTGGCATCACTCTCCCACTTGCCCAGGAACGGCCCCTGCTCCCTGGCGCTTTCCTCTCATCTTACACAAGTGCGAGGCTGGTAGCTGGGGGGATTCTCTGCCTTCCTAAGAGCAAACCCGAGTATCTTCTGAGCACCCCTGGGGTAAGGAGGAGGACATGCTGTGGGTCTCTGCCCACAGCTGGGCTCTTTGGTGCTTTGGCGGAGAGGGTCAGCCTTGGCTCTGGCAGCGGCGCAGCTCCGCCAGCCCACCCCATTGCACAGCTTACGCCTCCGAGGGCGGCCTGGGAGCCTTTTCTGGCCGTGATTTTAGTGTCTGGCATTAAAACAGTGCAGACAATCGCTTCGCCTTGGAGCTGAGGCTCCTCTTACCTTGTGCTTGCTTTGCAATATGGCTTTTACTTTGGCAGCCGTGTAACCCACAGGGCTAAACGCTGGCGTCTAACACGCACGGATAAAAATTTTTGCATGTAAAAACATTTCAGACGGAGAAGCTGCTCTCGGACTCTCTCAAAAGCAGCTTGCTCAGGCTGGGGTCGCACAGGCATCGGCACTACGCTGCCTGGACGTAAAGGGCGCCCGGCGTGGGCCCCTCGGCGGGAATATTGCAGTCGTGGCACGAGCGGGCTATTGCCAAAGCGCCCGGGGCCGTGCCCGCTCCCCGAGAACACTGGTTGGTAACAAGGCACTCGCATCACTTACTGATCTGTCTATACATATATACATTCAATAATATAGCTTTGAAAAATAGACATTTGTTTCCTCTGTATATTATAAAATAGCATTTAGGATCAGTCTTAAGTGACATGCAGGAGTGATTAAAGTACGGCTGCAATTCAGGCTGCTGGAGAGAGCCTGTCACCTCGAG